AATATATATATATATTATTTTTTTATTTGGTAATTATATGATGAAAGTAACGTTAAAAAAATTAGGTCGTAGTTCTATCAATATATATAAAAGTATTTTAATACAGTTTCTATTTTGTATATCTGAATAAAATTTATTTCATCTTCTTCAATCGGAACCGCATTTTAGAAGCATAAAAGATTAAACGGATTTCCAACTGCAGGTAAAAAAAAAAGATTTACTTATTAATTTCAGTTAATAAATATTATTGCTCTCTTCATCATATATTACTTAAATGTTTAATATATAATTATATTTTCAGTTCATTTAGAACAAAAAATCGTAATATAAAATTAATGTGTAAGTAGATTTTCGCAATTTAACAGTTTTAATCAAGTACAATTTCTGAAACCACACTATTTTTAGCATGATCCAGTGACTTTGATTCAGAATTAACTGGTATTAAATTTTGCGTTTAATTGCAAATTAAGGCAATTATTTTATAGTGCCGTCTATTACCGCAATTTTGAAATACTTTAATTTTAAATTATGTTAAAATTAATAAAATAATTACGTTTATAGACAACGGATAATAATATATTCAAATACCTGTATATAAAACTTTTGAATATTACTTTTCCATTATTTTTTCTCTCTATTTAAGAATTTTGAGTAGTTTATATCTTCTAATAATAGTTTAATTACAGCTTGTATTCTATTGCATAATATTTAATTAAATTAATAAATAACGGACACTGGCCTGCCATCTATTATCATATTTTGAAATAATGATATATACAAAAAAAAGTCCAATTACACGAAATAGTTCGTTTTTAACCCAATAGATGGCAGTAAATGTCACCCAATTTCAGTACAGTTAGTTTTTTAGTCAATAGATGGCAATAAAGACGTACATAGTTTCACAAAATAGTTTATGTTTTGGATAAGAGATAGAAATAATAAAAAAACATTTACACGAAATAGTTAGTTTTTAACATAACAGATGGCAGTAAATACTAACCAATATCATTACAGTTAGTTTTTTAGTCAATAGATGGCAATAAAGACTAACATGGTTTCACAAAATAGTTTATGTTTTGGAAAAAGAGATGGAAAAAAATATATAGAAAGAATATTTTTATTGTAGTTGTTTGAAGAGAAATACTCTTCAATATTCTTTGTAACGATATTTTGGTGTTTATTAAAAATACTTTTGATAAATGCTAATATTCAGCCCTAATTCGAACTTGTGTCCAATTTATTTTTTCCTATAATATATCAACAAAATTTTAAGTATTTGTTTTAGTACACTGATAATGGAATATCGACTTTTATTCAGAGTTATTTTTAGTTAAGTCGCAATGTACACCAATTTCGTTTGCGACGCCATCTATTTCAATTGAAATTAAATTTAAATTGGTATTACATTCCAAAGAATTAGTAAACATTCCAATGAAAGTAATTGTCCCGAATTTACAATTTATAGGTTTTGTATGATTTTGAAATTCTCTTGTATTTGTATTGAAAACTCATTTCCTTTTGAAATTCCATGTCGAACAATATGTTTTTGGTTATGAAGTGTAAAACCTGGGCTAGGCTTTATCTCTCGCAGGTATCGAACAACAATATCCAGCGTTATAAACTTTATCGGAGAGCCACCAGGAAGACATATCGCACAAACTTTTCACTGTTAACCGTACAATTTCGGTTCTTAATATTTTTCCTGAAGTATAATTGAAATTTAACAAGAGTAATAAAACTATTTTTGCTTATATTTTGAATTTTATATTTGGTAATTATTTAATGAAAGTAATGTTAAATAACATTTACGTCGAAGCTCTATCAATATATAAAAATTTAATTTAACACAATTTTTATTTTGTTTGAAATTATAATATCTAATTATAGTTTTGAAAATAAAAGTATATACATAATTTTTTATTTTCTATACGCCATCTAAGTACTAGACATGTGGCACTAGAAATGGAACATTTGAAGTACGTTCGTTAGGACTGTAATTACGTTTTAACTTATATTTATAATATTATGATATGGTATTGTTTGCAAAAAATTGTTTGATATTATTTATTAATAATTTAATTTATTTAGATGTTGACCACGAATAATTTTTTTACTTTGGTCAATCCATTGGGTATACATTGTTTATATTTTATATTGTAGGCTTACTCCTCTAGGTTTAAGTGCTTAAAATAACATTACTACTAGTAGTACTAATACTAATTACTCAGTATTACTATTAGTACTAAATCATATCTGTATCAATTAAGACAGTTTAGATGCTAAACTAATAATACTTATTGTTATTCTCGGAGTATTAATAAATTAGTCTTATAACAATATAAGTTATATTAGATATGAATTTTGATGTTTTACTGCATATGGAGATAAGGAATAATGATATGGTGGTTTCAAATTTAAAAAAAAAACAAATTTTGAAGATATGAGATAAACGTTATATTCTAAGAATTTGGTAGTTAAATTAATTGGAGATACTGATGAAATGTGTAAAATTTTAAAGATAATTTATTAAACACTCAAAATATGTATGTTGCTTATAGGCTAAAAAATGTGGCTACAAGAAAAAAAATATCAGGTTACCTTACAAGAGTATAAATAATAAAATTAAAGAAAATTATTATAAATATTTGAAGTTTAAATTGGTGATGGGAGAATTTAGAAGAATAGAGAAAACCAAGTGAGTTAGTCAAATGGAAATCAAAAAGTATGTAAAAAATGTTGGGTGAAAGATAAAAATTAATAATATGGATTTCTTCAAATACATTAATGATAAATAGAATGTTAGGATGGAAGCAAGACCTTCAAAGAAGGCTAATATTTGATTATGGGATGGCTGGGTTATTAAATTCTACTTTTTCACTAATGAAGATTTGAGCAATATTCCTCATCCTCAACAGTAGGTTTATTGGAACAAGACTGAAGAAGATGATCACATTAATTCTGAGTTTGTTAAGAAACAACCGGGAAGTTCAAAGAATTATAATCTCCTGGACCAGATAATATTTAACCCAAGGTTTTGAAAGAAGTTAAGGATTTGACTAATGTTACTCCTCTTCTCAAGGGAGGTGATAAAATTGTTTCAGTAATTATTAGTCAATTAGTTTTACATCAGTGGTGGGAAAAGTTTATTTTAAAGTCTGATAAAAGATGCTTTTAACAAAGCTTAAGATTGTATTGGCTAGTCAGCATGGTTTCACTAGGAGAAAATCTTACCTCACTAATCTCTTCTCATTCAGGTAAGGAAAATGTTAATTTACTTATCACACACTAATATTCCAGTTTGAAATACAGAATACTCTCAATGAAGTCTCTATTAAACATTCTAATAATAAACTTGGCGTAGCGGTGGGTAAGTCACTCAACCCATCAAAGCAATGTTTTCAAGTTTGATGATGATGAACCCACTTTGAGACAATAAATTTTGAAGAAGGTATGTTGACTTTATGTTTGATGGTGAAGTTAATATCGGAATGAATGAAGTTTATGCGTTCAAAGAAAGTTTGTAGGTGTTCTGTAAATGTGAAATAAGCAGGTGTCACTGGCACACACACACACCTATATATATAGGCTTGTGTTAAAACTCGACTCATAAATATATTGGCTAGAATACATGAAACAGAGTTGCCTTTGCTTAAACCATGCTGGACCATTCTGGTGTTTTATGAATTTTTAAGAGTTTTACTGTGTGAAGATGTACTTTGCTTGCTGGATGATTCTGGTGGAACATGATCCTTTCAAGTTTTTACTGTGTGAAGATGTACATTAAGTACTGGACCAGTCTTACTCTGACTTGTCTGAGTGTTAGTTGTTTTTCATATAAAGATTTAAACTACTTTTGTAATCTTACAGTTTTGAAATGTAGTTTGTCTAACCTTCTTAATTAATAGTAATACCAATTTTCATTTTCACTAAATGCTTTATATTTTGTCCGTTATTTTCTCTTCCTTTTCCACGTTACGGACCGACCTTGAAACACAAAAAACACGAAATAAATTTAAGTTATCCTTTCTTTTTCTTCGTAGAATGACTGCAGCTTGTAACAAACAATTAGAGTTTTTTATCCTAAAATGTTCATTCCTCTATCCTTTTTATAACTATTCTCATTTAATTATATTTTTCTTTGAATTCGGTACGAATCCTGCGTATGAAAAAATAAATTCCAGATCCACCGCGCAACTCAAATTACGTAAATGAATTACCCAGTAAAGAGTACCTCACGTGCAAACGTCGCTGAGAAATTTTATTTGTGTATTTAATTTTTCATTTTTATTTCCTTATTTAACTTAAGTTTTTACATTTTAGTTACTTTTATAGCAAGAAATAAACATAAAAAAACAAGAAATTTAGTACTTGTTAGGCGTCTTGTTATTTTGCTGCCTTACCGTCGATGACACTTTTGAGTTTGGAAGCTTCACGAACTGAACTCGGAAGTAAAGAGTGATTGAGTATTATCATAGTTTACTCGTGGTTCAAGAAGGAAATATTGTCAGAACAGTACTTTATTATTTATTTTATGTTACTTACATTAATAGTGTTGGTTAGCAAGTGTAACACATCTAGTTTTATTATACTTATTATTTTAATCTTTTACTTTTGTTATACTTGTAGTGAAAGGCTATTTTGCACTCGTAGTTTAGAATATCGACTTAGGACTAACCTACATCAAAGCTGATCAAACCGTGATATGCTAGGTTTACTTTAAGGCCTAAAGTTGTTAACACTAACCGTATCAGCAAGGCTACTCAACTGATGAAAGAATTCATTATATTTAATCTTTATAAGTAAGAATTTAAGAAGAATATATACCATTACATATATTCATAAGCACTTTGATTTTGTTTTGCTCAGACTCAGTATGTAACTTGCTCAGTTGCTGTGATCAGAAGTTAATATTAATTTGAATAGTCAAAACTCTAAAAAATAATTGATTGGTTTAAGGTTAACTTTGAGTAATATATGCATAGGGGTATAATAGAATGTCTGTATTTTTTCACTACTCTCTTCTTTCTTTTACTCTTCAGGTCTAGTTAAAACAGAGGAAAGAATTAGACTGTCTTATTAACCAAAGTGAAAAACGAAATTGAGTTGACAGAAGAATTTGAAAGAGATTAATCAACTTTAATAGCTATTCTCTATGGAAATGGTAAAAAATTTGTTTATATTTTCAGTAAGATTAAGTAATAACCATTATACCTGAGTTTAAATATAAATTTAAATGATTGGTGCTTTATATTTATGAAAACTGTCATTATAAATATAGCATAAAAATGTAGCTAACAATCGAAATGAGAAAACATTGATAAGCTTAGATGAATTTTTTAACAGCTCTTGTTACATAGTTAGAAAGCCAGGAAAATTGTGAAAGTTATGTGATATTGTGTGTTCTTTGGTGCATTATTTATTTAACTGAAAAAAAATATTTAGTGTATTAACACCATTAGTATGAAAAAGTAGGATTGTCATCAACAGTTGACATAAAAAATAAGACCCTGGTGAGCACTTTATTTCTTTTTTTTTTTAAATGTATTCTTTATTGTTATTATAAAAGTAAGTAAAATGTAAAAAATGAGATAATTTTTAGTTTAGATAATGTAAATGATAATAGTAATAATAATTTTTCATGGGATACTCTTGCAAGAACTGAAGTAACCTCTAACTTGAGCTCCACGTTCACCTTGTGATTTACTAATTTTATGGCAGGAATATTAGTTAAGACACAATTCAAAGGACAGTAAAATGTAACTATAAACAGATGTATATTGTTATGATATTTAAGATAAACAAATGGAGCTTCGTGTTACAATTTAAGGTCATTCTAGAATGAAAAAAAAAAAGATATTTTGATTTATTTCAAATTTTGTTTTGGAGGTTATGAGGTTAGTCAATTTGGCCAACCTCTTATAAGATTTAATTAGGGGGTTTTAGAGAACATGTAAATGAAATTTGAGATTTTTCAAAAGAAGAAAAGTATTTTATATCTTAACGTGAAAATCATTTTGCACTCGGAGCAGTTAACAATTTCACTCAATATATTCACGGAAAAAAATATTTAGTTAAAATACTTAATTATAAATTGAGATTGTTTTGTTTACAAATTATTCTTAGTGAAAGCTTCCAAAATTTCATAAAGATAAACAAAACATATTACAATTGATAGTATGGAAACTATAAAAGTCAATTTGGTGTCACAGAGTTGGTCCAGTTGACCAAGCTTGTAGCATAACGGTCAAACTTCTTTAAATGAACTGTGTTTACCACAAGACCTTGTTTTGTTTTTTTATCTTGGAAGATAAATACAATAACCTTATTAGAAATAACCTTAACCTAATCAGAAGTTTAAATAACGGCGCAACCGTAAAATGATTGAGCGTGTCACTGAAAGAAATGAAATTGGCAGCCAAACTGGTTGCTACACAAGAATTTTAAAGCAAATATTCAATCATTAGTTAGCTATGCCACATTTTTTGTTTAACTTGGAGCATGATGATGGGTAAAACAAAATATGTGGCCTACCTAGCTAATGAATGAATATTTGCTGTAAAATTGTTATCATTGCTATAAGTTTATCTACCAGTTTTGATTTCATTCCCTTAAGTCTTATGCTCAATCCATTTTGGGCTGCACCTTTTGTCACACCTACGGTGTTTTTGATTAGATATCATGACTTTTTATCAATACACACCAATGAACCACAGTCAGTAAGAAAGTGACACTAGATAGTAGCTAACGTTAGCTTTAAGGTTGCAACCCTATTATTTGGAACAGACCTATACTTTACAGAACCAACCAGATTCTTTAAAATATATGATGGTAGTTTCCTTTTTAAAACAGCAGTCTTTAATCCAAATGACAAGAAACTGAACATAATCCATTTTTAATCTTAGATTAAACTGTGGTAAAAATTTCAAGCCAGTAGCTCACATGATTTTTTCTGTCGGCATGCCTGAAAATGTTGGTCAAAATTGAGCTTATACTGAGACAAAATTTGACACCTAATTATAGGTTATAAACATCTGTTAATGTACCAAATTTGGGAAACATCCACCAAAGTTAATTATGTTTTTCATCAAATAAATATTTGATGTGATCAGTCCAAAAAGAAAATAAAAAGATAGGAAGAAATTCAATCAAAATTGGAGATTTTATGTCTTTCATAATGGATTGTTTTGACATTTAGATTTTATATCTTTCATAATGGATTGTTTTGACATTTAGATTTTATATCTTTCATAATGGATTGTTTTGACATTTAGATTTTATGTCTTTCATAATGGATTGTTTTGACATTTAGATTTTATATCTCATGTCTTTCATAATGGATTGTTTTGACATTTAGATTTTATATCTCATGTCTTTCATAATGGATTGTTTTGACATTTGGTATGGGAAGTAAGAGTCCACTAGAGTATTGTCAATGAAAATATGGGATGGTTTGGATTACCACAGTGTGAGCTACAGAAATGGAAAATTGCAAAACTATCACTGTTTACAACACAGTTTGTTGTGTGGGTTGTTTTCTCTACATGACACATTACTATGTTTATTGATAAAATGCTTGTGAGAAATATGTTTAAATACTTGGTTTTCTTGCTGTAGTTTATTCAAGGGAGCAAATCAGCAACAGGAGAATTCTGAGTTAAATTGTATTAACTAATTTTTCTTCACGTAAAGGACACAGGAATATGTTGAAACTAGTATCTATGTACAAGTTTTTTAATAGCATATTTTGTTTCGAATGTCTTTTTTTTTTTTCATTTACATGCATTGAATAGGTTCTCAGTACTACCAGTATGTGATACGTTATAACTGTAAGAAAGTATTAGTAACATTCTAAAAAGACTGATTGGATTTATCAGTTGTTAACTGCCTTTTGTTTGAAGGATTTTCATTGATAGTAAAGTGGTTTAATTAAATGTTTAATGTAACACAGTATCATACACAGAAAGGAATTTAAAAATGGTGCCGAGACCGATAGGGCTAATAAATACAGTTTCTTGTATTTTTCTTGTTCCTTTTTATTTTAACTGTTGTTTTAACACATTTTTACCAACTTTAACTGTATTTTGAAACTGAAGTAAATGACTTGGATTATGTTTCTTGTAACAGTTTTAACTTGGTAGTAATGTTAACAGATAAGTAACAGTTTTAACTTAGTAGTAGTTTATTTTGTTGGTTTTTGAGTTGATAGGGCATACTGGAGGGATTTAAACTTTTTTGACAATAATGTTAGGGAAAACAACATTTACAGATAATGTAAAAATATTTTTTTATTTCAGTCTACATTGTGGCTTTATCAGGACTTGTACAAATGACTGTATTTATTCAAAATGTTCATTCCAGCATTTCAACGGATTATTTGACAGACGTCATTCAATGTTTTATACATATTTTATGTGTAACTACACGACACTTCTGTAACTAATTTACAAAATTCCTCTTTATACAGTTTGTAATGAAGGTTTTTCTGTCCATTACATTCTCAATCTAAGTGCATGCAAATTTCAGATAAATAATAATTATTATTACTCATTTTTTTAATTGATAATCAACTTGTTGGTTTCAGTTCTTGGCCAAGCCATTAATGTAGCCTCTTGTCTTGTATAGTTTCCTCAGATGTTCCACCTGTTATTTGCACACTTGGAGCAAAGTCTTTAACTGGTGCTCTTCAGTTGGAACGGGAACATGGTAAAAGAATTGGAACAGATGAATCAATTTCAGGTGAAAATCTACAGGATTAATAGTAAAAAGATAAAGTTAGCATCATGTAATGACAGTAGGTAAATACAGTTTAAATGATACCAGACAGTAGTGCCATACAATTAATGGTATTTGCTAATCAATTAATGGACAGACTCATTAATCAATTAGTACACCATGTTCCCTACAACCTGTACAGGTTTGATACCTATCTGTAGATTATAAACATCTATTAGTGTACAAAATTTGAATCTTGTGTCTTAATGTCATGCATGTTGTTTTCACTGCACGTCATATTATTACTGTGTTTCTTGATAAAATGCTTGTGAAAAATATATTTAAATACTCGGTTTTCTTGCTGTAGTTTATTCAAGGGAGCATTTTATTATATTTTAAATCAGCAACAAGAGAATTCTGAGTTAGGGTGTATTGACTAATTTCTTTTCAAGTAAAGGACACAGGAATATGTTGAAACTAGTATCCATGTACAAGTTTTTTTAATATCATATAGTTTGTTTCAAATATGTCTTTTTATTTTTGCATGCATTGAACTAGGTTGTCAGTACAACCAGTTTGTGAGAGGGTTGACGTTCATGTATTAAAATCCTGGCTTTCTGGTATTAAAATATACTTTAAAACTGTAAGAAAGTATTAGTAACATTCCAAGAATTATTTATCAGTTGTTGACTGTCTTTTGTTTGAAGGATTTCCTCTCTATATATAGAATTTGTTCTTTTTAGTTTTCATTGATAGTAAAGTGGTTTAATTGTTTAATGTAACACAGAAAGGAATTTAAAAATGGTGCCAGGGCCAAAAGGTTTAATAAATACAGTTTCTTGTACACCTCCCTCTTTTTTTTAAATGAGTGAAAGCACGTTAAGTGATTAGTTACTCATTAAAAGAGATTATTTGTACCCTCCTAAGGGTGTGACGAGTTTCACACTTTGGAAATACTGAGTTAATGGGTTCAGGTATTGTTTAGTGAACTTTCTGTTTCTGTATTGGTTTTTAAGCTTAAAGTATAGTTTTTCATGTAATAGTAGAAGTTTGGGATAAAACAGTTTGAAATGGTGGGTTTAGTCTTATTTAAGGTTTTTATCAAAAAACTTTTATTTGTTAAACAGATTTTAGTGTTACCACATTGTGCTGTTAGGAATACATAACTGTTATGACAGGAAGTGTGCTGAGTCATCTATCAAGTCTTCATTATTCTAGTACACTTCAACATAACATCTCAAGACAAACTTGACTTGCATTACTTGTACAAATACTGACAGAAGTTTACCACTGTTGATAAATTGGTTCCTTGCTGTACTATCTTGTGAAGTGGACTGTTCACTTAAATAATGTTGAAATGTTTGTACACTGTTTTAACCACATAGGAAAAATATGGGTCTCGTCCGATCCCTGCAGACACCCAAGGTCGGGCCTAGTTAGTAATTGGGAGGGTGACCTCATGGGATTACCGGGTGATGATGGTACTGTTGCTTCCTTTACCTGGTGAGACTGTGGTAAGTGTTTGGATTTACAATGCTAAAAATCAGGGGTTATATTCCTTTCGGTGGACACAGCAGATGCCTGATGTGGCTTTGCTATAAGAAAACATGCATTGTTTTATGATTTTTTATTATGGAAAGAGAAAAAAACGGACAATGTGAAGCAGTTAAATGTACCTTAAGACCAACTGGAAAATGCATTGAAGCCAGACTGGTATTTTTTTTCACTTTTATTTTTAATCCTATAACTATGGGTAGGGGTCAGAGGGCATATCATCATGTTTGTGGACTAGAATTAAATTTTTTTGAACTACTATTTTGTGAATATATGTCTGTAAGTTTGGTATTAAGCTGGTGATTATAATTCGAATGTCAGTATTATACATTAGTTAATTTCTTAATTTAAAAGTAAATATTTAAAAAAATCCTAAATATTTATTTTTGTGTGTCACATGGTATGTTGAATGCAGCTTTGGTTTAGATTAGATGTTTGTGATGTCCAAGTACAAAAATCTATAATATTTTACAAATTAGGAACTCATATTGCTGATATTGACAAGCTAGAATATAAAACAAGAACCTCCTATCTTTTCTATGTTATATTTATCAAATCAAAAAAGTTGGCCCTGCCCACCTCTTAGAATTCCACTGTAATTAATCAGACTTTCTAACTGAGCAGTATGTAGGTTTAATAAAATGTTGATTTTCAAGCACCATTTTATCTTACCCCTTCTCTGCGAGTCTACAATGAAGAAGACAGGTTTACCCATGAAGACACTTTACAAAGACCATGTGGGGGAAAATACTGAGCTTTTGATTGGTTATAAACATGTCCTAGAGTGAAGTAGGTGTACATAAACAAGCATTTCTAAAAATGGGAAATTTGTATTCGTTTCCCACGACTTGCTAAGCCTTGTCGAATTTTGTACGTAGAGTACGTAAAACAAAATAATTTTTTTAGGTTTTATATACGTACTTTGAAATAAATAAAAAAAACATCGTTTCAGCCGTGTCTTACTAACAATGCAGAAGTTGCATTCAGACACACACAGCTTTATGTTACTGTATCCAATAGTATAAAACTGGCCTTTACAAAGTGTAACAGTTTTCTAGTGGACCAGTATTTGGTAGAATACAATCACATTTCAGTTGTAATACATTACATATGTATATATATTATTACTATTTACAAACAAATTTTTAAATTTCAGTTATTTTTCTTGAAACATAAAACAGTAAATAAAACAATGATTTCTTCTACTTATGTTATACATGTATTTATCATTTTTATTTTATTGAGTTATGAGATTTAAGCTATTTAGAATGAACATATGAGGTTTTGTGTTATAATTTGTAGTCATTCTAGAAGGAAAAAAGCATAATTTAGATAAGTTTAAGAACTTATTTGTAAATAGTAATAATGTATATACATATATTATGTATAATATTGAAACGTGATTGTAGTTTACAAAATACTAGTCCACTAAAACATAACCAAGACAGGTAATTTTGTAAAGACTAAAGGTCAGTTTTATATTATTGGATACAGTAACATGAGTGCACGTGCACCGCATCATTGTAACTTCTGTATTGTTAGCCAGGCACAACTGGAAGGCCAATATAATAAATATATATATAAATGTATAATGTTATGCGCTTTAAGGTATTTAGTCTAAACATTTGTGTTTTCGTGTTATAATTTGTGTTCATTTTAGAACAAAAAAAGTATAATTTATATTTATTTCCTAATATTTTATGGTGGTTTACGAGATCGGTCAAATCAACCAAACGTACAGAGATTTTTTAGTGAAAATAACAGATAAAATATACAGTTTTTCTTAAGAAACATTTGATAACTGTCTGGATGTTATAAAAAATATCTCATGAAATTTGAAAATTTTCTGATACATAAAAGTATTTTTAATTTTAAAATGAAAGGCATGAGAAAAACTTTGCTCAACAAACCTTAAGACTTAATAAAAAAATCTGATATTTTGCATGAGAAAGCCTTGTAATGTTTACTGATAATCTGCCAAATTTTGTGAAGATGCCCTTATTTATAGCATGAAAACTATAACAAGCACGAAACAGTTATGAGGTCGGCACCAGGGACTGTGCTGAAAGAGTTAATGTAAGGTTTAATATCTTTATTGTGAACAGAATCGATACTGTAGTACAAGAATCATTATTTTTTAATTACATAGAAATTGTTACATAGTTAATGAAGAATCAGCTGATCAAAATGTCTTAGTTTAATAGGAGTTCATGTCCCTGTACATTTTTATTGGCTGTCTTAGGTGTTTCATTCATTGACAGTGGGACAGCCCAAGGCACATGATCTCATCCTTACAGGACGACATGTTTCAGCAAAGGAAGCATTTGAGATAGAATTCCCTGATCAGCTTGTTGCATGTAGCACTCTTAGGTTGAGCTGAATCTGTTTGATTTCTACTGAATTACATGGATAACTTAAAAAACCTCATTGTACCAGTGTAAA